CTTTATCACCTATTCAGGTTGTAAATCGTGTTTTTAAAAAGTAACTAAGTAATTAATTACTTTTGAAAATAAGTAATCAGTAACGTAACAGGATTACGTTTTGGGGGAAGTAATCAGTAATTAGTTACTGATTACTTTTTTCAAGTAACTTGACCAACACTGCAAATGACTAGCAGGTCGTTTCCTGCATAGACAACACAGAAGGAAAAATTAGATCATAATCAGCATGTTCAGATTAAAAACAACAATGATCCTGGGAGATTTTCTTTAAACAAAAACAGCATTTATTATTTCAATTTTTATTTGCTTGTTTTTAGAACAATTAGTGTGCTTACCTGTGTAGTCAACCCACCCCACCCTCCATAAAAGTACAGTTATTTCCTGAGCGCCACAGTTATTTGGGACTTTTATTAAATGCACAGTTTGCAAACACTGACATCAACAGAGAGCAACCCAGAAAAGCCCCGCCCCTCAGTGGTCACGGCAGATGGCCGCCCGTCCTTGAGCCTGGTTCTGCTGGAGGTCTCTTCCTCTTAAAATATATATAAATATACAAAATAACATCTATTTAAACTGGATTGTCTTTTTGTCCACCAGGAGGAGCAGGTGAGCTGCAGTACCATACGTTTCCGCAAAGTCCAACACGACCTGGACGAAGCCGAGGAGAGAGCAGATATCGCTGAGACGACCGTCAACAAGCTGAGGATTCGAACTCGCGAACAGACCAGCAAGGTCGCCATGGTGAGTTACGCTCGTAGAGGTTAACGCTGTTTTGCTTCCATCAGTGTTCCTAATGAGCCGTTCGTGTCTCTGCAGATCACTGAATGAAGCTCTGCAGCATCTCCATCACCGATTAACTGTGTTGTTTGTTACCTGCTGTGTGTTTTTATCCAGTGTGTTTGTACATCTGCATCTACTGTACGACAATACGTTTTTTCAATGAAAAGTAATATAACCTGGTTTGAAAGGGAAGCGTTGAGGGCGGCGAGAACATACGAGCGATCAGCTGTGTGTAAGCCCAGAGGGGGAAGCATCATTTCTCACCTCCTTAAATTTGTTTTGAACAGTTTTATGTTTGTTTGTTTTCAGCGGGGTTCAGCATGCTTAACCAAATTAAAGAGAAGACTATAAAGATCTTTTTAAAACAGCAGTTTAATCCTTCCACAGTCAGCGATCCTGGAAAAATAATGTAACCAAAAAAAAGAAAGAAAACCTAAAAATAGTTGTTTTACTTCTCGTATGTGTCTGTACTTCATGTATTTCTACAGGCATTAGCTGAATCCAGGAAAAGACAACTGTACAGACCTACAGGGCTGTGTACATACCGCTGGGATGTGTATCTATCAGTTCATGTAGACTGGCACTGTTGATTTAATAGTGATAGATTTAAAAGGATTTCTCAGACTTGAGAATTGTAAAGATTAACGATGCTGTACTTTTATTTGGACTGTCGGACGTTTGTGTGGCAGCACATAAGATGCAGGATGTTAGGGAAGGAACCAGCTTTGTCATAGTGGTGACAGAGTGTGAGGCTGTGGCTATTTCCTGAGACTTACTAAATGTTGATGAAAATACTGCTGGTATTATAAAATCATGATCCAGTCCAATAAAAACACCAAAGAGTCAGTAGCAGAAGGAGCTGTTTGACACCGGCAGAGAAGATTTTCATGGTTGCAACACACACGTGGAACCATTTAACAAACAGGAAATGAACCGGCTTTCAACTGGGACAGGATTTATTGCAAAGAAGCGTCGTTACAATAAAAAAATAATAAAACTATAAATGAATAAAAAATGTTTTATGTCAGTACTGAATCAGATGATTTTGTGGTTTTTGTGCATAAAAAGTTTGGTTTGTAAATGTTTGTGGTGTCAGACTGTAACGTCCCAATTAAAGAAAGAAAAAACAGCGTTTAGAGATCGTCTGTTTAACCGAAGGGGGGAAAAACATACTCGAGAGGTGGTGGAGACCAAAAATGGAGCTAGAAGAGAGCTTTCTGATTGCTGGATGGAACATCAGTGCTGATTTTTCTCTGCCCACTAGTGAAGGAGTTCAAACGAAAGAAATGTGCCTATATTCAGACTGTAAGTATGTTGATGTGTGGCTTTATAATTATTTGTTTTACTGTGTGGTGACCAATAAAAGCCTGATGCTGTTGACTGCTGCTTTTGGTCCACTCTTCTATATGTTGTTCTTTCATTTCTGCACAGCTCTCGTAAAATATCATCACAGCCTTTCAGTCCGGTTCATGTCTGAACTCTGGGCCGTTGATCTGCTGCAGAGCTTGGGATCATTAGCCGTGTCTCAATTCAGGGCCTGCATCCTTTGGAGGACCCGGCCTTCGCGGTCTACGTGGGCCGGGTCCTCTGAAGACCGAGAAGGGCAGAAGTGCGAGGCTGTGAAATGGGATGGTCTAGCCTTCAGATTCGCGTCAAAATATAACAGGACACTGGAGTAAATTCTCGATCATCTCACACTTCAGTTTAATCAGTTTTCTGTTTATTCAGCTGCGTGAAAACTGTTTAGTCTCAGCCAAACTGATTTACTCTGGAACAAATAAAACACTGAAATAAACCAAATATTTAGACGTTATCTAAGTGACTTATATATCATGTTCAGTTCAGTAGCCCAATTCTGGGATAGGTACGAACGGTACACCCGACCCATCCTTCAAATTCGGGGAAATTAAGGCCGCATTTGGAGCAGCCTTCGTCATGTCGCGTTGACATAATCGGCCTTCAAATGCGGCCTTGATGCAGCCTATGAATTGTTACAGTATACAGAGTTCACGGTTGTGATCCGAAGGTGCCCAAGCCTAAATCATCTTCCCTCCGCCGCCGTGCTGACAGCTGGTGTTCGTGCTGTTTGTCGCAGCAGCACGTTAGGAGGAAACCAAACGTCTCCGCTTTAGTCTCGTCTGTCCAGAGGACTTTTTTTAAGGTTTGCGGTTTATTCATTTGCAGCTTTGCAAATCTAAACTGTGCTGTCATGGTCTTATTTTAGGGAAGAGACTCTTTCCTGGAGACCTTTCAAAATAAGACACACCTGTTCAGTCTTTTTCTTATAAACTTTAACCTTTAACATGCTATCTTTTTTAGCTTTTTACCTTTTTTTTCTACAGCTTTTCTGAGCATTGCTGTCGGACCTTTGGAGGAATTTGCTGGGAGGTTCACTGCTGGCATCTGTTTTGATTGTTTTTCCACTTTCTTACTTCGAATGATGGATTACAAATTTCAAAATGCCAAAACATCTTTTTTATAGAGGTGCTCACACATGCGTCCACATCAGTGAAGTGAATCTGATTATCAGCACGTATCATATCATTCATTTTTCCTAGGGAAGCACCTGGGAAAACTTTCTTTCTTATAAATCTTCAGTGTAAAACTGACATAAAAATATTGAATTTTATTTTGTGACTGACTAAGGTAAAAGTTTTGGAGTTCATTAATGATTTTAGCAAATAAAAATGTATTTTGTGATTATTTTTTGTCTTTGTAGTGATCCGTTTCTGCAGACAAAAACACTTTGGACAGAAAAGGCACAGTTTGGCATTCAACACTTTATTCACAAACTAAAACCAATCACTGTATCCACAGGTCAGTGGGTGACTGTACAGGTGTGTTAGATCAGTATTAACCGGCTGCACATGGCAGCTTTACATCATGCCTCACCACGAACCCGCCATTGGTTCATTCGTCCCCTGCATCCTCCAATCAAAGTGCTCTGCAGTTTGTCCTTCAGTGTGTGTGTGCGCGTGTGTGCGTGTGTGTCGGGGTGGATAAAGTGAAGGTGTGTATGTGCGCGTCTGTCCAGGCTCAGCTGGACCACATCGGTCCGGTTCTCGTGTGCGTCTTCAGAAGACACGCCTACACATTTACAAATACATTCAAACACAACCAGAAGGTTTTTCCTAGATATCTGTTAGACAGCAAATAGCACCGCAGAGCAAAATACACTTTGGGGTTAAAGAAAGAAAGAAAAAACGTCTACAGACAGCAGAGTGACAGCTGCATTCACACAGGAAGAAAATCACCTCCAGAACTCTTCATCATGGCAACTCTGATATGACATTAGCGTGAGATTAGCCAATGAACAGCTGTCTCACTGTGGTGTTATGATATCATGTTAGGTCACTGTGTGATCTCCCTCTTCACCCTTGAGCTGTTCGGTACTCCACACATTAAATCCAAACTTTTTAAAAAATGATATTACACAGACGGTTATAACGTACGACTGCTAACTTCAGGGAATAATTTGGATCACCGAGTTCACCGACATCTGTTCTGCTAATTTCCAGCTCCACATTTTCAGCCTTGGACTCTCTAGAGTAGCTTTTGCTGAGTCCAAGTTCAAAATAATCCTTCTTTATGTCAAACAGGGCCGTGGTGCTCGCTTCACTGCCTGTTTTAGCTCCTACAATCCAGATTTCTGCTGTTTCTGCTGCAGGTGGGTGAGGCTGTGCCTGACATGACAATATTAGGGATATTTCCTCTCTATGACATCACACAGACCCAAGCACTGAAAAAATGCGCTGAAACTGACTGTTGAGAGTCTGAAGCCCAGCGCTCGCGGTGATTATTTGTACACACTGACCTTTGTGTTTTGAACTTTGGCCATGTTTAATATGAACATCCAATACTGGATAGCTGATATGTTACAGAAAATACTGAAACGCAGAACAGGTCCATAAAAACCATAAAACGAACAGCTGAACAGCATTCTGGGAAATATAAGAAACACAAGCGGGACCAGATGTAGGTAAGAAAACTGAGGGGACACCGACAGAAACCTGGGCTTAGCCTGAAATCACTTCCTGTCCAGCTGTACTGATGGTGATCTTCTCTCAACACTCAGCGTTAATATTCAGACGTGGAAATTCAAAAATAAACGACTTCAACGTTTTGACTTCCTGTGTGAAAACAGTCGTGCTTTTCTACAGTTACAATTTACATCTTATATGTTCCGTTGTTGATCTAGATGAAAAAAAATACTTTAAAACTCAGCTGAGCGGACGAAACAACAGAACCAAAAGGAAGGTGTGTAGGTACAACGTGATTGGACGATGAAGCGTTAAAAAACCAAAACACCGAACCAGATCTCCGTGAACTCTTCTTTGTTTCCAGACCTGATGACATCATCACCGTGCCCTCGCTTCACGGCTCACGAGACACTAACAGACCTTTTCCCCCAATTGTTTGTTCTCTTTGACTCTGACGTGTTCTTCTCTTCGGGGCTGCTGCATTGCATCATGGGAACTGTAGTCAGTCACCAGGTTAGTACAACTGTAGCTCTGTCATCAATAAAGCTGTCGGTCACTACGGTAACCGACACCCAAGTTAGCGAAGGGGAAAAAAGCAACATCACATTTGCATCAGCAGTGATGTCAGAGTGGTCGGCGTGAAAGTTTGTGGCGTCCGCTTCAGTCTCCGTTTAGTAACAACAGGAAAAGGGAGAGCAGGTCCTTTAAAGTCCTCATGGATGGTTAGAAAGACTAAATATGAACATGGAGAACAAATGAGGCCACTGGGAGGTCACCTGAGGAGGAGGAGGAGGAGGAGGTTTCACTTCTATACTTCTGTGTAAAAATGGCGAGCCTCTTCACTGTGAGGTTCAACACGAACACATTTTCATCATGATCAGAATATCAGAGATTAAAATACTTTCTTATACTGAATTATGACAAAAACGTTTCAATAAAAAAATAACTTCTCATTTTTATATTTGACATTTTTTCTTGCTATCATGAGATTCTGTTTTTACAAGGAATAATGTAAACATGAGACGTATATGGCAGCTTTCTTACTTACATTTATAAGATCGTTATTAGAAGATGGAATCAAAGGTTGGCCAACGACGACCACGCTCACTACAGACCAAAATGTGTCTGCAACACAAGTTCTCTAACTACATTTACCTGATAAATGTGGTTAACAGGACTTTCTGAGAGATTTGTGCTAATCTTTCTTCTTCTTTATCAGCCTGTTAATTAGCTGTAATTAGCAGGTATGCATGTCTGAGTGATGCCCCCGTACAGTTCATTGATGATGATTGATGAAGGTTTCTGACCACCAAAACACGGAGGCTTTAAAACCATCTTTCACGTGTAGTTTAAAACAATGATAATAATAAAATAACTGTGTGTAGATAAGACTATTATTCCCAAACAGATGATTTAACAGCCCATGAAACCATGAAAAGTAACATCGTAAAAAACAATTTGTACTTGTATGTACTCTGTGTTTTCTCCTTACGATGAGATGATTTATTGTTTTAGAAGGAAAAAAACTGATAAATACGTCAAAATAACATGAAAATGAAATGTTTTATTTTATAATTCTATCTCATCTCAACCAATCACAACAGATGGCCCCGCCCCTCCCTGAGCCTGGTTCTGTCTTCCTGTTAAAAGGGAGTTTTTCCTTCCCACTGTCGCCAAAGAATTGAACTGAATAACACAATCCCAGCTGTCAGCATGTTAACAATGTTTCTTGTAAAACTTCACATAATCAGAGTGAGTGAGTTTATATGTGTTACTATATTTTTGATGATCTCAAAATTTCAACGAGCTTTAAAATCCTACTTTTACCTCTTTTTCTTATTAAAAACTAAAACTTTGTTTAATTTCATATCATGAAAACAGCCTAAAGTTCTTTTATACTCGTTTACACTTATTTATGGTTTCTTTTGTCATCATTACATTTCTTTTGTTTTGAAGATGAATCAAGTGATAACAATATTTTTCTAAGAATGTGAAAATATGTCAAAACTTCTACTACCTTTAAAAAGCTGATCAACAATGACGGACTCAGGATATTGTGTCACAACAAAGTTTCACTACTTTTTAATCTCATCAGACTTTATTCTCCTGTTATTGTGATATATCATTTTTCCCCTCTAAGGAAATGTGTCAGATAATAATGTAAATTTCAAAATACTTCACATTTCCAAAATCTTTTAGTATTCATGTCACTGTTTCTTATAAAACTCAGAATATGACAAAAATGTCAGAAACAACTGCAGCTGGAACATTTTCCCCCAAAGCTTCAAAAATATGTTAAAATATTTGTTCTTGTTTTAAAGAGATGAGAATTTATTTTACTTATTTATTCATTATTGTGGAAACAAAATTCTGGTTATTCTGTGACAGTTTATCTGCTTTCAATATTTATGATATTTATGATTTAGGTTATTATCTTATATTTTGTAAAAAACTGTAAAGCCATAAAAAATACAAATGTTCGTCCTCATAGTGGGTTCACATGTTTCCTCTTTTTAATTTATTCCATCTTTATGGAGCAAAGTTTCCTGTATCAAGGAAAAACATTTCCTTATGAACATTTTCTTGTTATTAATACCAATTTACCATTTTCAACATAGCGTAATAGCAAGAAAATGTATCAAAAATAAAGTTAAGAGGTTGGTACGCAACATTTATTTCATCACGGCAGAAGCTGTTTGTGTTGTTCCCTCACTGGAGACAAAAATGGGAAAATAACATCTATCTGAATTTTTCCGTCTTTAACAGAGTCGCTCAAAAAAAACGAAGAAAAGAAACGTTTTTATAAACTGACGCTCCAGCGTTGGTGTCTGAAAAAAATTAAACTCAAAGAGTGCTTAATGAACACCTGAAGCAACATGGTTTCTGTCAGAGACGAGATGGAAACAGGAGTCGATAAGAAGAATAGATTTTCAGCAGATTGATGTTCGGTGGTGTGAAACAGCAAAAAGTTTTTCCTCAAACAAGCCTGCTTTTACTTTACAATCACGGTTTTCTCGTCTACCTCTCTGCCTCCTCCTCATCCCCATCATCCTCCTCATCCTCTCCTCCTCCTTCTTCTTGCTCCTCCACATGGTGCTCCCCTCCTCGTCAAGGGAGGAAGAGGAGGAAGCGGGAGCACCCAGTGGAGGGGTGCGTCGACTATTTTGTCCCAGTGTCTCCCTGAGCGGCAGGGTGGGAGGTCCTGGTGATGTCACATAGACTAAAGAAGCTGATTGGCTGACAGGTGAGGCGGAGCCGTGGTGGTCAATTGGTGATGATGTCTTGACGACCACGCCCTCCACCTTCGAGCTGATGTGGGTGGAGTTCAACCAATCTAAAGGTTTAGCCCTTCCATCCATCCCAGATCGGACCCCTGTTTGGACACACACACACACACACACACACACACACACACAGTCAGACTGAACCACAGTTGTGTGTCTGCACTGAGAGTGTGAGTTACAGTAGTTACAGCAGAGAGGCCATGCAGGCAGCAGCACAGGAGGCGGCTCAGACACAAACGCGCTTTATTAAGGTGCCAAACAGCACGAGTCAGTAAATGAATTATTTAAACTAGTGTCAAAATACACTCTCTACTATTAGGTTTCTGCACCTTCAGTCTTTCACTTTTGATAAAACC